CAAGAACATCTGTAGGCCCAAGGTTGGGGACCACTGTTGTAGACAATGGAGTAGCCTTCTTGGAGCACAGTTAGACTAGGGGGAAAAAACCCGTATCTGAATCGGGTGCTGCATGTTTTAAAATGATTTCTTTTTAAATGGCCACTATATGATACACATGGAAAGGCAGATTGCGTTGCCAGGGAACCGTGTTATTTAGATTGGAAGTGAGGTATTTAACTCATCTGCCAGAGGGTTGTTTATTTTAACTTGGGTGTCAGACTGATTTATTTTGAACCATTTTTGGCATGTGTGAGCCCCGCCATCGGTGTGAATTGCACCTGTGGGTTTTTGGTACTCCCTGTTGTGTGTTGTGCGTTCCTTCTCCACTCCCCGTGTGCCTGCCGCCCTCCTTCCCAAGCCTCGTCAGTGTCAGCCTGGATGGGTGTCTCTGTCCTTCGAGCCTAGTCAGTTTCAGCCCCTTTTAAATGGTTTTCTATCTGTCCTTCTGTTCTAGCACTATTTCAGATTTTTAAAAAACCCACCCAGGAACAATTATTAAAAATAAGGGTGATGGGGGGTCCAATGCATAGCAGTGGCTAACGGCTGTGAGAGGGAACCCGTGTGAGTATGATCAAGTGCCAGATAAAGCCTTTTAAAATGCCCATGTAGCCTCCTCAAACCTTCTGTACAACACAGTTTAAGAAACGATTTCGGTGTTCCCAAGAGGACAGAAACACACATCAATTTAAAAAAAAATCCACATGACTACCATATAACAATAAACCAAATTAAAAAATCCAAATCCTTCACTCAATCTATTTCAATTAGTGTAACTGTGCTCTTGGTTCTCCCCTGCCACCGAATTCTGACTTTTCAGGATATGTGAATTCTAAAACTTGACAAAATTTCATACTGAGCAGGAATTTTTTAAAAAAAGGACTACGAATCCCATGATGCTGCTTTTTGGGAGTTCTACCTGACAGATGCCTAAATGTGGCTCACCTGGGAGAATGGCTTCAACATGCGAGGCTCTGAGGCCAAGCTAGGCCTTGCTCTGCCCAAACTTCCTGTTCCTGCCCCAGTGCCAGCTGGGAGCTTTCTTTCTGAACAGGAAGCTCGGCGGAACTAGGCCTAGCAGAGCTTCAAAACCTTCCAGTTGAGGCCTTTCTCCCAGGCGAGCCACAGTCAGATGTTTGTAAGATGTCTTGTCAGTCAGATGGGATTCCCAGAATGGAGAACGATGGGAGTTGAAGTCCAAGAAATCCAAGCAGAGTTTGAAAACAAGACTTTGGCTTCTAGAATCTCACCACTAGCCATGTTGGCTTCAGGAATAATGGGAGAGGCAGTCCAGAAATATCAAATTCTACCTACTTGGGGCTCAAGGGGAATCCTACTAAGCACCTTCCTATAAATAGCTATATTGCTCTCCCTGAACAGTATTCCAGTTTACACAAATTCACCATCTCTCTTGTCCAGAAATCTTGTGCTGAGCGTAGGTGGCCAAATCCTGATCACATCTTGTTTTCTCCACAAACTTTTCCGACAGGAAGTTTAGTTTAAACCAGGGAAAGAGACTAAAGTTGCTGTACAGTATTTCCCCCAACCTGTCCAAACCTTCTGTTACACTACAGTACTGCCTTTTCCCAAAAGCTTAAGGACAAAAATAGAATACTCCAACCCTCTTCCTTGCAGCGGGATCTTTATCCGTTTCTCTCCCTAAATTGTTTGAACTTGTTCCGTATTTTATAGTAAAATTAAAATTTAAAGAATGATGCATCATCTTATATGTCTCTCTCCCACTTAATTATTTTCCCCAAAAAAGAATTCAGGGTACAGTCAGATGCATGCCTGATGGTATCGGAAAGGGTTGCTTTTAATGGAACGTGCCTCCCTTAGAAGGATCTTTGCCAGGGAATTGCCCCCAAAGTAGATGCCTGGCAGCTGGACTAAAAAAGGTCCAAGGAGGGCACAGATCGGTGTCGTGATAGCATGCCTTTCCTGGAGTGAATGAATCCCCCTAAAATTCCTACACAATTACCTGTACGTATTATCCCCCCCCCTGAAAAAGTTCCCTTGTGCCCCATCTAGTGGTCAAAAAAATAACACCTTTTTAATAGAGAATTCGGGATTCATTCAGGTGGCAGTCTAGGTAGTTTTATAAGACATCCTAAACATGCTTGATTGGTCAGTAAATCTGATTATTACCTATCCCCTATTGAATATGTTTAAGATTTTAGCTTTTAAATCAGTATTCACTGAGGGATGCTCTGATGCCATCCTAGTGAGGTGGGCCAGGCTGATACACAAACTTCAACCTCTTCTCCCCCCACAAGCCCAGCCTCTCCTTGGTGCTTCGGACAACAACCCCCATCATCCCATCTGTGGGAGCTGGGGATGATGGGGCCTGTCACCCAATCTATCCAGACAGGCCCCAAGTTAAGAGAACATGGCTGCAAACATGCTCAGGAACACACTTGAGTAAACTGTGGAAAGAAGCCAGGACTCTAAAGAGCCACATTTTAAAGACATTTTGATCTACCTCGAAGCAATAAATGGAATTGAGAGGGGGTCCCAAATCTTGCTGTGATATCCCCCCCCCTACAAGAAACCCCCCAGGTCTGCTCCACTCATCCAAACTCTTGAAAAAAATATTCCTTCTCCTCGTCATCCATTCCATTTTGGACACAGCCCCTCTTGCCTTCTGGTTTCTACACGCTTTACGTGGTACTGTATTATTGTTCGTAAAGGTCCTTTTCTAAATGTTTAGAAGTTTGTATTTTTGCCCCAGAAACAAACCAACAGCCTCTCTGGGCTTCCCACCAGCTCTTTGTATGATCTGTAAATGTCTGTGTACATAAATCTCCTCGCAAAAGTTATGTGCCTGTGTGTAAATATATAAATATAAATACATAGAGAGGAATATCACCGACGTGTCTTTGTGTGTATCGGAAGGGACGTGGGGGTCCCTGACTAGTGTTACATGCACTGCTGGTTTTGTAAATAAATTGTACCGTTGGCACTCCAGGACTCTCTGATGGTTGCTGAGATTTTCTGTTGCAGAGTTTTGAATTTCTGGTTAAACTCCTCTGGCTGTACACAGAGCAGAATAGCTTCAAGGTCGCCAGATTAGTCCATCCCTTTTCTCACTAACTGGCATTTACAGTCTCAATAACTTATTCTGACATTTGTATTCGAAAGAATCAAAATGTTTCTTTACTTACAACTGAACAGATCTAACAGCAAACTGACAAACACGGCTGCATTCAGCCGCTGAACCTCAACAAACTCACTGAGCGCTTTCAGTTGAGGACGGGACCTTTTGGAGATGGCTCGTTCATAGGTTTGCCATAAATCAGAGGCAACTGGATGGCACGTAACAACAACAATATCGTCTATTTGGCCTGCATGCATGATTGTGTGCGCATGCATACGTGTGTCGGTAAGGGTAAGCAGATGTTCTCAGCATTCGCACAGCAACAGAGAACTGCTAGATTTGGCAAGGGGGCATGCTCTGGTCCATGGGGTCACGAAGAGTCGGACACGACTAAACGACTAAACAACATCAACAAATCCCTGCCATAGATTTTCTGCAGATGACGAAGCAACTCGGCTCAAGAGTTAGGAGAGACGTATCAAATTGTTGGAACACAAACAAACTTATACAAATGGGTGGAAAACTCCAATAACAGTGTCTTGGGGAAGGGGATTTGGGGCGTAGGACACAAATCCAGCCTTGGACCTTAGGTTTTCCTATCTTTTCTTAAGCAAAAATCTCCATAAACATTCCAGGAAGTATAAGGCTGTAGACCCTTCATTTTAAATTCTACTAGAACTCAAAACGATTCTATTAACACAGAATAATCTTAAATAATTCTAAATGCATGGGTCCGGAGGCTGGTTTCTTTTGGCCTCCATAGACTCCTCCTACACCCCAGGAAACAGATCTTCCTGGCCAAAAATCTGGACCTGTTCTTTGGTGGCCTTTTCCAGAATACAGGACCAGATTGGATTTCGGGCAGAGAGAAAGCACTACAGACGGGGAAGGAAGATCGGAGATCCTTAACGCCAAATCTTAACACCATGTTTGGGGCAAGAAAGGAGGCACAGGTATATTGTGGAGCAAAGCAGAAGAAGGAGACCAAGGGCAGCTTTCTGCGCAAGAGTTAACTCGTTCTTTGTGGTTTCAAAGATGCTTGGTACGGGAAGTCGGGTTTGGAGGCGAAGCTGAACTCACTTCCTGTTGGGCTCTGGGTGAGAACAGAAGTGCAACCTTTTTTTTTTGCAAACTTCAGGCCCTGGGGCCCTCCGCTATCTTTCTTCTCTCCGTGGCTGCTTTTAACAGGGGCGGCGGCGGTCCCACGATCCCGTCCATCTTTGGCCCGCAGGACCTCAAGATGCCATCCCACTTCAGCCCCTCCACGTAGAGGCAGCAGATTCACCTTGGCTAGATCTTGGCTGCGGAGAGGTGCTCCCCCAGTCATGGATTTAAGGCAGCCGGAGTCCTCCATGGCGGTGGTCTCCTGAGTCGCCTCGGCCGATGTCTCTTAGGGGTGCCGGAAGCCCCACAGTCCAAAGCTTGGCTTCTGGAGACCCCATGAGCCCAAAGTGGGCTTGGGAAGCCAAAGAAGGAGACAGGAATCCTCGGGCATAAGAGAGCCCAAACATCTATACCCATGTCGCTTGCCATGAAAGCTCGGCAGCGGGTGAAGAGGAAGGGAGCGAGCAAAGACCGGATTTTTGGGTGTGACCTCGTGGAACATTTACAACTGTCTGGCCAAGAGGGTAAGTGATTTGCTTTTCGAAGATCGGCGGTTGGTTTCTCTGGCTTCATCTCTCTGTCGTCCCAAACTGGAGAGGTTATGAGACCAAGGTTCTCCCAGGGCGTAGGCGCGTTGGCTGACGTGACCCTATTATGCGTTGGCCTCCGCACTGTCTCTTCTATGGTGGCTCTCAACGTTGCTTTCCTTGGCCCATGCTGGCTAGCGGATTCTGGCCACGATCCCAAAAAGGTAAATTTCCCAAGCTTTCCCTAGCAGAACATGCTCTTGATCATGAGTCAACGGCACCCAAGCTGTATATGGCATTTGAGCTAAATATCTGGAAACAGGGTTTTGGATCTCATAGTTTAAAAGACTGGTTCAAGCATAAAAACTGACAGAGGAAAGTTATAACAAGGGAAAGGGTTTTGTTTTGTTTTCAAAACAAACCACCCAGCCAAACAACTTCCCAATCGCGGTGGCCAATATGGTCAGTTCCATCTGGAACAGACTCATTTGATCAATTGCTGAAGACGAAGTCAACAATTAAAGCCCACTGATTCAATGGAACTGCTGTGCCTGAGACGATTAACAGGATAGGATCCTGGTTAATAAAGCTGAACAAAACGCTAATCTCAACAGATTTGCTTATCAGAGGTCCAGCGAACGAGACCTGTTTTAATCTAGTGTCTCAGGCTTAGCAGGATTTACCCACCCCATCCCATTTCTGACCAAAAGTTTTTTGTAAAATCATTGGGAAAGCAAAGCTCGATCAGATGTTATTGTTTTCCAGTCATCAAACACTGCTATATTCTGATCAACAGCCTATATCAACCCTCAGATCCTGAATACTGCTCTGGGTCAGCTCAACCGTTAGTTAACGTCGACCGTCAGCATATTACAATGTACGTTCGGTTTCTCTTTCCTGTACATAGCATGCGGGGACCTGTGGCTCAGGTTCCCTACGAAAAGTTTGCGAGACCTTTCTTTGTGCCTCATCAGAGGAAAAGCACCATCGAGGGCTGAACAGTATTAGAAAAATAGTCACAATTCCAGCTAAATACATCGATCTGTTCAATCTAAGCCCAGCGTCCTCTGGGGTTTGTAGTCCAAAAAGGCAATTTTTCCAAGATGTGGGATTTTTACCAGACTTCAGAAGTTGCAAACCAGCTTGTTTCTGTCGGAGGGGGGGTTGACCACGGCTGGAGGAAACAAGGGACCTTTGTTCGAAACTTGAGTTCGAAACAGAAGCAGCTTTGACGGTGCATCTTGCAGCCCCCCCGGGGGGGCCAATTCGGAGTCCAGTACAGTGGTGCCTCACTAGACGATGATAATCCATTCCACTGAAATCACTGTTTAGCAAAATCATCGTCTAGCGAAAAGCATTTCCCCATCGGAATGCATTGAAACCTGTTTAATGTGTTCCAATGGGGAAGAATCGTCGTTGTCTAGCGAAGATCGGCCATAGGAAAGCCGCTTTGTGAACCGCCAATCAGCTGTTTAAATCGCTCTCTTGTGAAGCTTAGGTCTGGAAAACACCTGTTTTGTGAGTGCAGAGGGAGCTGTCAAAATCGTCATCTAGCGAAAATCGGTTTGCGAAGCAGGGACCAAACATTGTCCAGCGAAATTCCCCCATAGGAATCACTGTTTTGTGAATCGCTACAGCGATCGCGAAAAGTCAATGTCTAGCGAAAAAACTGTCATGAGGGGTAACTGTCTAGCGAGGCATCACTGTAGTTGGTACGGAAATCATTTGAAGGAAACTAGGGCTGTGACATAAAGCAGTACAAGTGCTTCATTTAAGATGGAAAAGTCATGTAGTACACTGTCTAGCGAGGCACCACTGTACGTTTTACTCTGAATGAACTGTAGTCTCATAACCATTGTCAAAGGCAGCTGCATCTCAAACTCTGGAGGCGACCCCAGGAGAGTGTGGGTGTCCACTTCGTTCTGCCCAGATATGCCCGCCGAACCGTGAAAAGGGCTCTCTGTGAGGTCGAAACAACAAAGGTGGGGACCAAGAGGATCGGGATCTCCCATAGTCCGGAAAGAATTAGGAAAAGGCCGTGCAGTTCTTAGCACTGCGCCAATCCGAGAGCAGGATGCTATTACCTTGATTGAACCACTTAAAAATCAAGAAAAACTGCAGAAAAGAGTCCCACAAATTCGTAGCAGATGTCGGTGCGGAGTCTGCTTCTACGGTGCGAGTTCAAACGCAGGTTGTGTGAAGCCAGCTTGGGGGACGGGTGGATGTGGTCTCAAGCATCATCTCTTCCAGCACGGTGGGGATTTTCCACCCCAAACGGTGGCTCCTTCACCTCTGAGGCTAGACAAACTCTAAGTTTTAGACACCTTGCTTTAGAAAGAGGATAAGTTGTCCCTTCATCCCAGTTGTCTCACCTTGTTCTCCAACAACTGGGTTTTTTTTTGGGGGGGGGGATCAACTTTTCAGATCAGAGGTTTTCTGAAAGGACGGTAAGCGGTGGATCTACTCCTTGTGAAGGCAGGAGCTCTGGATCGGAATAATTCTCTTAATTATTCCTCCTGCTGCTCTTATTGAATGGGGCTAGCTTGATCTTTTGAGTCATCCATTTCCTATACTCAAAATATATTACACAACGTTGTTACACAACCCGGACAGTGATGGCCACAGATGAAGCAGCAGAAGTCCTTCAAAACCCTGGCCTAGAACTTGTCAGAGACTGGCTTTAGACTCTGTGCCGTAAAGGCCACACAGAACCTAAGCCAACGATGCAAATCGTACGGTTGGGTACCCAACGGAGGTGGTTTTGGGGGTGAGCAGTACCCGTACATGAGCATCCAAACAGGATACACTGCCCGAATCTTCAGTAACATGTCTGTGACCTGACTCAGAGACGGCCCCCGGGTGGCTTAGATGGGTGTGCAGCATGCGAAACACACAGGAAGTGAGCGGCGGGATGCAAAAAAGGTGAGCAATATTGGGGAAGGGAAGGCAGCTGTCACGTTGTCGTTTCCTGATTTGGCTGGCGACTGGCCCTTGCAAATTTGGGCAACTGCATCAACTTGGTAACTGAGCAGGGAAGAAAACCTGCTGTGAACGATGGCCAGGGTCCCCAAGCATGCCGGACATTAAGAGAACGCTTAGGGTTGACAGTTTTCACATCTGGCCAGCTACGAGGTATAGATTCCCCCAGCAATTCTTGCTTGCTTGTCCTCGTTCTGGCCCCGAGCCCCAGGCTTTGAAGCCAGTTCTTCTCTTGCTTTCTATCCTAGGGTTAAACTCAAAAAACTTGCATAGTTTGTGAAATTATCGTTGATCCTGATGGAGATATCAGCCACGGATGAATCTTGGATTTTGTTTGCTTCTGAAGACTCCAAAAAGAACTTTTTTTGGGGGGGAGGGGGACACTTGTAGAGGTTGGGGGTTCCCGGGAGAAGAGCCAGCCTAGGTGGCCTTGGGCAAGCGGCACAGTCATAAGAGCCAGCTGCCTTGGTGCCATATGGTGATAAATGGTGATGATATTACGACTGAATGCCAACTCCTTCCTGAAAGCAAGGCTCCCGCCCCTGCTAGCTTTTTCCAGTTCCACCAGTGTGCAAAAGTGCGGAGATGGTGTGCCAAGGGATCATGCTCAAGTATGCTTCCCTGGTGTCCTGACATGCCATAATCCCATCCTCCAGGAGACGTGTGTGGGTGGGCCACTGCTGGGGTTGGTGGGGGTGGTGTTATACAACCCTTTTTGGCAAAGCATGTAGGGGAAAGTGACAAAAGGTGTCTAATAAGTGCAATTAGGCGATAGCTGTTAATGACAGGGTTGCCCTACATACGCTGCCACGTCGTCTAGGCAAATCGGAGAACAATCAAGAGATGGAAATACCCCCCAAGGGGAGATGCTGGATTTCTTGGGAGGGACACCCAAGACCGTTCAGGTGGGTCACAACAGTCAGTGGGTGGAGGTGCGCAAGAAGCAGAAGGCAAAGAATCGTATTTAAACAGTGACGCAAGCCTGTGTTTTTGTCCCAAAACATCTGTGCAAAAATTTGAACAGCTGTGCCATTTTTGCTTTCTGGAATATTCTTCTTTTTCCTTAGCGGACTTATTGGGCTTGTCTGCTAAACTCCACGGGAATTTTATTATGCTATTAGGCTCGGGTGCCGCGTGCGCGGCTGAGGAAGGGCAACAGTTGTATGAGCTTTGAGCGAACAGGTCATGCTATTAGCCATTGCCTTTAGGTTTATTTTACATTTTGGGCTATACTTATTCCTATTTCGGTCTAGATCTCGCCGTTAAGGGTCTTTGTGGGTCTGGGTGGGCAGTGGTGTTTTTAGCCGCTGTTAACCGCCTAGAGTAGTGATTAAGTACTAGCTGGGAGGGAGACGTATCTAATGACTAAAATAAATAAATAATAAATTAGGGCAAAATGTAAACTGCCTCCCACAACCAGGTCATAGCCCTTTGTGTGTATCCCTCCAGTTCCTGGGATATTTCCCCCCCCCCAAAAAAAAAAACAACTCTGGAGATCCAGAAATGCAAATATATATATTTTAGGGGCCAAAGTATCTCTTAAGGAGTACAACTGGTTAGCCTTTTATTTGGGTGCAATCACAGTGGATCTTATCCTGGCTTGTTCTTTAAAAAAAGGAAAAAGGGAAAGTTTGAAGCAATTTGTGCTGTATCTGATCTGAGTTGTGCTCTGGGCACAAACCGGTTTGAAATTTCTCTCCAGTTTGCTCCGGAACCTAATCCGTTTACTCCACTTTGATCTGGACCTCACGCATATGGATTTGATATCAGAATCGTTCCTTTCTTCATTTAACCCAAGTTCAGGGCCGAACCCAAATACAGTAAGACAGACACATCAACCTCCCACCCCTGAATAACTTGAGATACATAAGTGAACCAGCGAACAAATGAATAAATAAAATAAAGCCACCCCTCACCCACCCACAAGATTTAATGTCTGCAGCCGGTGGCCCCAAACTCTGAAGAATAATCATCTGAGCCTCTCCCTCTTAGGTCCAAATTTTTAGGATCTCGGAGCTTTTTATTCCCGGAGCTTGGAGGTAACACATTGCAAAAATTAGCTTTAGCTAATTCTTTCTAAGAGGGGAAGATGAGCGACCTAACAAGGAGAGATCTTCAGCTCAGCTTGCTTCTTAGGGCCTCCTCTCTGACTTTCGCTTCCTGTCTCAGGTGGGGAAATGAGATGCTCCACCCAGACACCCAAACCTGGGTGGAAAAGACACACACACACCCCGTACGTAGGTGCTTGCATGGCGCATGCACGTGCGCATGGGCAGGGGGTGGGTGCTTGCAAGTTGCCGTGTTAATCGGTGGTTCGGGGCCAACCTGAGCCTCAACGAGCTTCTGCAGAAGACAGAAAGCTGCCGGCGTCTTGCAAGGTTTATTTCAACAGACGGTACAATATCACAAAAGGAAGCCCTCGGACGGCTTCGCACGTTGGCGAGACGCAACCACCCACCCCGAGTCCAGCTGGGCACGGCCCCTGAGATCAGGCCCCTGTGATGCACGGGGGGCTACAAAGACCTGGATAACCCAAAGATTTTTTTTAAAATACCCTAAGCTTCGTACTTTGAAATTGGGAAGGAAAAATGGAAACCAAAGAGACTCCCCCACCTCGCACACATACACACACATTTCCAGAGGAGGGAAACTATTCTGTTCAGAGTCTCACAGATGCCTTCTCCGACCAGGCCAGTATTGCCACCTAATAAGATACACCACTTTTAGAACTGGAGGTTTGCAAATTCAGGATGTGGTGCGCAGCTTCCTTTTATGCTCTGCGCTTCCAGATTTGCCATGCATTAAAAAAACGCATGCATCTACGTAATTAAAACAACAGATTTCCGATCCATGTCATTGCAGGTTTTAAATTCCGTTTTGAGCAAACATCTGGGGGGGTCCTGTTTCTCGGGAGATGGTGGAGCTCAGCTTTCTGCACCTTTCCACCTGGCTGTTCCAAAATGATTGAGCAACAGAATATTTAAAACCCTGTCCCTGAAAAAGCCCAGGATAAGGGATCCTAAACGAGACAAATGTCAAGAAAGGGGGGGGGGGAGAAGAGGCTTTAACAATGATCCAACTTAATCCAAGATGACAAAGAGCTGTGTGGGACTGTTAAAATTACAGATCTACTCCACCACAGGGACATATTGGAGTGAATCTGTGAGGATCTCACTCGACGAGACGCTAATTCTGTAACTAGAAGCTGTGCTCCCTCAAGTGGGAAAAACTATCTGGTTATTCTATCCAAGGGCTTTCTTTGATCTGCCCTTGGCCAGTCCTCCTGCTCTTGTTTTGCAGCCGGCCACTGAAAGATAGCTCTCTCTTTGCCTGCATGTCACACATCTCGATAGCACAGAAAGGTTTGTGTGCTTAGAAAGACCATGTGGTCTGACCGTGAAAGGCCCCAATCCAGAGAGAGCCCTTATGGGTTTGGGTGGAAAAGGGGGCAGCAGGGGCGAAGGCTCAAAAACCTGGGAGGAAGAAGGATCGGGACCCTTCCAGAAAGTGGGCCTGGAGACCAAGGGCTGGAAGAGAGCAAGGGGTCAAAGAAAGAACAAAAGGAAAATCAGAGGTAGAATTTGGGGAAAGAGACTTTTAAATTCTGATTTGAAAAATGCCATAAAGCCTGAAAACATCTTAAAACACCCCTTAAACATGTTTTAAAATACTCTTTAAAAGTAAATTTAAAAAATAACTGAAAGGTGTTACCACCACTAAACAACTTAGATTTTACGGGTTCTGCCGAAAACGAACTTGGTAACTATGGTTTACATGACTCATCCCCAAAAAGTAACTAGTTACAGAGCTAGTTACTCACAATTAGTTACCCACAAATTCTGGGGAAACTCAGGGGGGAAACTGCGGCCTTAGGGACTTGGGAGGGGGGTAAACGTGAAAGAAGACACCCCGGCCATGGGGGTCCCAAGAGATGGCAAACCCCCCAAAAAAAACTGTCACCTGAGGCCTCTGCTTTTTTCCCCCTGGCTGACTTCGGGGACGGTTTGGGAGAGAAAGAGGCTCCCCAGGCTGACGTGGGACCCCCCCCCCATCTGTAGTCCCCCAGGTGCTGAAGAGCTGCATGGAGTTCGTGGAACATCACGGGATTGTGGACGGCATCTATCGGCTCTCGGGGGTCTCGTCGAACATCCAGAAGTTGAGGTAAAGGCCGGGGTCCCCGGGAAAAGCTGCCTCGAGGGTTAGGCACGTCGGCCACGGGGCCCTTCGTGCCCCTTGATGGGACCAGGAAAAGTAGGATCCAAAAGTAGGCGCTCATGGAGAAGAGAGGAGAGATAGTAGAGATGTGTTGATTTAGGGGGAAATGGAGAATATGGGAAGCAGCATCATGAGGTGAGCCATGCACAGAGACCGAAAAAGGGGAGATTCAAGACAGATAAAAGGACATACCATGTGTTGTTAAACAGTGGAACTCCCTGCCACAAGATGTCACAACAGCTCACCCTCTGGGCAGTATGAAAAGGGGGAAGGAAACGGAGGATACCAGGGAAGGCTGGCCGTTCCCTGTGACTTTAGCGGGTGCCCCCTGACCCGGCCAGCCTGGCGCTGGCCACTGCGCTTGGGCTACAGGGACGTTACCATCCAGGCTGGATCCTTCTGGGTTTCTTGTCACAGGCTTGAGTTCGACACCGACCGCACTCCGGACCTCAACAAAGATGTGTACCTTCAAGACATCCACTGTGTAAGCTCCCTCTGCAAGGCCTACTTCCGTGAGCTCCCGAACCCGCTCCTCACCTACCAGCTGTACGACAAGTTTGCAGTGAGTACGCCCGGCGTATGTATGTGATCCCTCTTTAGTACCAAAACTCAGGGAAGTGACTTTTTTCGGACTACCCAGGCAGAATCCTACAGCCAGCAAGGCCCCTGGCTAGCCATCCCAATACTGATTAGGGTATTCTGCCTTTTGTAGACCCCAAAAAAACAGACTTTTATCCAACTTCTCCCCGAGTGAGATCCTTTCCAGATCACACAAGGGAAAGGGCAGTCTGACAGTGAGCAGTTACAAGCAGCACAGTTACCTATAACTAGTTACAGTTGCATGGTGTAACTAAGCTAGACCTCAAAAACAATGAAAGTACAAGTTGAATAGTTACTTTTGGTATAACAAGTAACTGGTTCTAGTTACTTCCCAAAGTTACTTTTTACAGGACATTTTAGGGGATTTCTAGAGGGAACTGACTGGAATTTTGCAGGCTGTATGGCGCTTGATTCCACCGATCAGTCCTTCAATCTGGGCATCTCTCCCCCCTCCCGTCTACTGTTTCTCCCAGGAAGCTGTGGCAATCCAGATGGAAGAGGGTCGGCTGGAGAAGATTAAAGAAGTGCTGAAGGAACTCCCATCACCTCACTACAGGTACCTGCATGGACCAGAAAGTCTGCGATTCTGTTCCATGTTCGGATTATTCGGCATTTTCAGCTGCAAGAACGCGGTCTACTGCTGAGCCTGGGATTACCAAATCGGAGCTATTACTCTGGGGAGTCCTACCAAGGCAAAAAAGGATAGTGCAAGAGGAGTGATCCATAAACTTAATTGCAGCTCGGCTCAGAGCCTGCCCTTGTGGAGAAGTTACACTCCCCCTTTCTCTTCCCCAGCATGACTGCCTTTTTCCGGAGAATGATGCCTTCACATGATGTGCCCCGAAGTAGGACCACCTCAGTTTTGTCATTTTTGCCTCTGGGGACAGTTCAGGCTTGATCTGATTTAGGACCCACTGGTTGGTCTTTCTGGCCGTCCAGCGTATCCGCAAAGCTCTCCTCCAGCCCCACCTTTCAAACAAATCAAATTTATTCCTTCCAGCTTTCTTAACTTTCCAGCTTTCACGCTCCGACCTAGGGATCGGAAATGCAAGTGTGTGAATCATCTTGGTCTTGGTTTCCGGTGACACCTCATACTTAAAGATCTTTTCTAATTCCCTCGCGGCTTGCCCTTCCTCCTGCTCCCAGTTTTCTTCTGATTTCTTGGCTGCAGCCTCTGTTTGGATGGAGGATTGAACCAAGAGTATACCAATGATGGGAAAAGGAGTCCTTTCATTCTGAAAAACCCCATCCTGACCACCAACCAGCCGTGCTGGCTGCCTGAAGATTCTTTGAAGAGGCTTAAACATGAAACCAAGCCCCAGATCGGAGGGCTGATCCATCAAGCCCACTGAGCCTTGCTGTCTTTTCACTGGGGCTCTTCCCCTTCTTTCGCCCTCTCTGCCAGGACGCTGGAGTTCCTGATGAAGCACCTCGTCCACATGGCCTCCTTCAGCTCCCAGACCAACATGCACGTCCGCAACCTGGCCATCGTCTGGGCCCCCAACCTGCTCAGGTGAGGCCGCCCCTCGCAGGAGGCGAGGGTGGGACGGACCCCTTGGGGAGTGCCCGGGTTTCCGGCACATCTTTGTGGGGTGGCTACAGGGAGGGCCGAGAGAGAGGTTCGCTCGCAGAGTGTCAGTGGACACCTCGGCTATACAGACACTTCCCCTTTAAGGTAGATACAAACTTCTCACTTTCGGGGTGCCCAGAACCGGTCAGTGGTTCTTTCTGGTGAAGCTCCTCAGAACCCCATGAAACAGAAAGGAGCAAGCGGGCTGATGCCGAGAAGAATGACACGCTTTCAGAGATGGTTGGGCTTCAACTCTCATCGTCCCTCCCTGTCTAGGGTAGATGGGAGTTGTAGTCCAACCCACTGAGGACCAGCTCACCCCATCCTTGAGCTAGCACTTGACCTGAGGAACAGAGGGAGAGACAGAAAGAAGAATATCACCGTCTGTAAAAGCCTCTTTCAAAGACCCAGAGTCTTTAGATTTCCTTAATGCCTACTCTCGGTTTTCACATACTATTGCAGGTACGGACTTTTGAATTGTTGGTTAAGTTCTCCTAGCTGCACAGCAGAAGTGCAGGGATTCACAGAGTAGAACAACATCAAGTTCCCCAGAATAGCCCACGCTTTTTCTCTCATCGCCTGGCACTTACAGTCCCAATAACTTCATTCCCAGGGAGCTAGCCCTATTCTGGTGCACGTGGGTCTAACCTTCTGACACTTATGCATCACATATTGTACAGCCAGGTCTTCTGCATTTTTGCACTTTGGGGAAAAAAAAAGACATTCATTTGCAAAGTAGCTGTGGGCAGACTGCAAAGAGCAACTCAGGTTCTGCATAGCCCGGCTCAAAAACCGAGCTTAGCAGATTGTGCAAAGCACTTTGCAACCGAGGTCCAGGAAACACAAGGTGTGCCGTGAAATGCAAAAGGGAAATAAAACTCTCAGTTCAAAAGATCCGGGTTCGAAGGGTGCCCTTTCCAGACCTGAGGGTCTGCTTTCTGGACTCCTTTCTTCCCAAAATCTCCTTCCTTTCTCAGGTCCAAGGACATTGAGGCCTCCGGCTTCAACGGCACAGCTGCCTTCATGGAGGTTCGCATCCAGTCCATCGTGGTGGAGTTTATCCTCACCCACGTGGACCAGATTTTTGGAGACGCCCCTCTGCGAGGTAGGGAGGGCCCTCTTGTCCTCAGTCCACAGAAGGAGAGAGGGGTGTGTGTTCAGCACCAATCTGAATGTGTGCATGTGCAAATGAATGCAGAAAGGCGCTGGCATGTTTCTGGAGCGTATCCTTGCAACCCAAGATCTAGGTCCAGGGGGACCACATTCCTCCACCGCACAGTCAGACACACCTTTTGTGGGGTGGGGTGGTGGGAAATGCCATGGGGCACCTGTCGAAGGTCCCAGGATGTGGGCAGGTCTGTATGTTTGACATTGTCAGCCCCTCGACTGCCTCTTCCGGCAGATGATTGGGGTGCAAAGGGACCGTGAAGAACATCTCGTGGTGCTTTGTCTTTCTACCACAGTTGGAAGCCGTGAATCTCTCAGGAAGTCCCTTCTTCTTATGGCGGCACCGGTTCCTCTTTCCGAGGACAAGTACAGTTTCCCTTACAACGTCCCAGCAGTGCTGAACCAGGGGGACGGCCCGCCTCAGATGCGCCCCTACCACACCATCATTGAACTCACCGACAGCAAGTACGAGCCTGCCTGCCTGAATCAGCTCCCTTCCTTCCTTCCTCCATTCTCTTTTCCTTCCTTCCTTCCTTCCTTCCTTCCTTCCTTCCTTCCTTCTTTCCTTCTCGCTTGCTTACCTTCCTTCCTTCCTTATCTGGCACCCGCCTGGTTTGTGGGACTACATCTACCCTCATGCCCAGGTGGATCTACTTTGAAACTCATAAAGCTTAAGTTTCAGGGCCCCTAACCCCAGAAGAATCCCAGAAGCAACTTTACTAATAAAACAAAACAAAACAAAACCATCATCTTCTCCTTCTCCTCATGCCTTGGACTGCCCTTGGACACCCCTGTTCTTTCCTGAAGAGGCAGTAGAGGAGCCGCTTAGGGGTTGGGTCCGAACTTTAAAAGGCCGTCTCGGTGCCCCCCCCGCACCTCTTCCCCTCCCAAAGGTGTTTTTGGCACTTCTGGCAGTTCCTCTAAAAGTCCAAGGCAACACCCACCGCAGAATCACAGCGCCCTCCATGACCCGGACACAGGGCCGTTCCGAGGTCTCGGGTGCTGGCGGGTGGATTCTGGGAGTTGTGGTCCGAGAAAGGATGACTTTTTCCTAGCTCTGCGCAAAAACCACCCAAAGAGCACGTCTCGGCAGTTCCTAAGCTCTCTTTCGATTCTTCACAGAAGAAAAGGCTCTCTCAAGGGAAAGAGGTGGAAGTCCATTTTCAATCTAGGGCGATACAGTCAGGACTCCAAACGGAAAATGAACAAACCAGAGGACAAAGGTAAGAGGGGGAAAGGCACCATGAATGTCGGGAGCGTGTCGGTCCAGAGGATGAACTGCCCCAAGGAACTCTAAAAAAGGACAACCCTCAGCTAATGGCTTCAAAAAGAAACCCAGATGTAGTGACAGTGCAGGAGGAGAAAGGCTAAAGTCGGTAGCGGACGTCCCTAAAGCATGATGCTTATAAACCGTCCCATAGTGCTTGGTATACAAGCCCAACTGGTGTGCCTAGCATATGCCACTGATTCACCCAGTGTATCCACTGATTCACCTACCCGTGGTCTAAAACTCTTAAAAGGAAAATCCTAGAAATACGTATTTCTAAAGGTGCCTGATGCTTATAAACCGTCCCATAGTGCTTGCTGGTGTGCCTAGCATACGCCACTACAACACAATACATTAGTTTGGGTAAACTTAAGTAACCAATACATTTTGGATGAGGGGATATGTTTTTATCCCACTCCCTCCTGGACATCCATGAAGGCAGCTGTTTTTATGACATTAGTACTCTATCTTCTGGCTTTTTAAAGAAAGGTAAGGATTGTGCATTATAAAACCAACAGGACTAGCACATCTGCCATTTAAAACAACGCCTTTCATCCTCGGGTGTGCCGCTTTGGCCGAGGAATATACAGCAGGACCCCCTTATCCATGGGGCTCGGTATCCGCTGATTCACTTACCCGTGGTCTAAAACTATTAAAAGGAAAAAACCTAGATATATGTATTTCTAAAGATGTAGTTACCAGAACTGGTCACTAGAGGGAGCCAGAGACCATGTTATGTCTAGCGTTCACCATAATCTGCATTTTTTTTCAACATCTGCAAGGGGTTGGGGGGGGCTTGGAACCAATCCCCCACAGATACAGGTGTCCTCCTGGAATTAAAAGTTTAATAAACTGGGCAGGGTGGCCCAGCAATGCAGGTGGGGCTGCGGGAGCCTGCCCTGTGGGGCTGCGTCTCCAGCCACCCTCTGTCTCAAGGCACCATCAGGGACTTTTCTAGGGTGGCGGGGTTCCATCAGGAAAAGCTTCTGTCAGTGGGATGTGGTGTAGAAGGACAGTCTCTCAACTCTGATTTTTCTGTTCTTGACGATGAAGCCGCCAAGATGCGCCTACGGCCAGCCAAAAGCATGGACTCCCTCAGCTCGGTGCCGTGTGCCAGCAATGGTAGGTGGAAAAAAACAAATCTGCAGCTGTTTAAAGGCCCTTAAAGGAGGCAGGTGTTTCTACCTTTTTTTTCTCTGGCCCTCTGTCTCCTGAGAAATGGGACAGCTAGGAAGCCTTTTCTCTTTAATTCATTTTTAATTTTTCGGCTCCTCCCCTACTTCGTCTCTTATTCTTCACCTCTAAAGTAAACACAAGACGTATTCTTAAAAACACTGTTTTTTTTCCTAATGCACAAACGTCAATAAAGAGAAATCAGAAGATTTCTGTTCCATACGACAGTAGTAAAGCACGCAGTACGATGACAATATATAAAATTAAAACCAGCATTTACTATATGTTGCCACTGATGTAGCTGGTAAATTGGACCACATAGTGAAGCCTAGCAAAGATGGTGTCACTTGACTCACAAGGAGTCCTTTGCTGAAGCCACGTATTTCTTCAGAACGTGAGAGTCCTGGCTGCCCTCTTTAAGGCAGCCATAGGAAGGAAGCAGAGCCTAAGAATATCAATCTACAGATCTAACATCAGAGCCCAAGAAGAGTAATCAAACAATCAGAGGCTACACACCCACAGAGTTCCCTTCTTCCTTCCATTGCTTCTCTGTCCTGAGTTCAAATGCTGAGCCATAGATTCAGGCGCTTCCTAGGGGTGGGCAAGTATTCCTTGATGCCATAAGATCTGAGTCCTCACAGTGGAAGGGCAAAAGCCTATAAAAAACTGGCTTGTCTGCATTAAATGCACCATAAGGTTAAAGCTACTTGCAGATACAGCAAAATATTGGGGATTTATAATTGCACAAAATAAGCTTGTTTATTTTTAGAAAGAAAATAAGTACTCCAAGAGCTGATAATTAGGGCAACCCCCAATCACACCACACCCCCAAAAAAACACCCTTTTAGATTTTTTTCTGGGATAGAGCATAGTCTGCAAAATTCCCTAAAAATAGCTTTCAGGAGGGAGGGTTGGCTTACAGCCATCATGGAAAGACATGCGGGTGGCTCTTTCTAATAGAAAGAAAGAACAACTGCCTCTAAGAGAGGAAGCAGGAAGGAAGTACAGCCTGTGAGTAGCAATCCACAGATCAATAAGTGGTTATTCGCAGGAAAAAGATCGAGATACCAACAATGACCGGGTCCTCTTTCTCTCCCTCTGCTACTCGTGGATCCAGTCCACCTGCCACAAGTGCTGGAGCCAAGGATCAGCATACCATCCCTTTCGGCATCTCTGTGACCTGCTTCTCCCTCTCTCTCTCTCTCTCCTTTGGGTGCAGACGACGCTCAGCTCGGGAGGAATAAGTCTCAGAAGCAGCTGACTCTCTACCAGGACAGTCTTGACGGCCCAGCCTCGCTCGACCCCAGTTTCCTGGAGCCAGGCGAGGACCCGGAGAAGTTCAAAGAACCGCCCGGCGGAGAGTCGGAGGGCGAAGCCACGGCCAAATCGGAGCCCACCACCCCCAAAGCCAGCCGGTCCAGCCTCGTCGGGGCCTCCCCTCAAGGGCGATCCCCCAAAGCCGCGCGCAACCGAGCGGAGAAGTGCGCCGGGGTCCACATTTCGGGCCCGTTTTCCGTCATGGTGCCCTTCCACATCACTTCCAACCTCACCCTCTCCCGGCTGACCCGGGGGCAGGAGTGTCCGGCCTTGAGCCACGGCGCCCCGGAGAAAGAGCCCGTGGACTCTTCCGTGGCCAAAGAGGGGGAGGAACAGGAGGAGAAGGAGAGGGGCCACGAAGCTTCCACGGGGAAGGAGGAGCCGGCAGGTAAGCAAGCCCATCCAAAGAGAACAAAGATGCCATTAATGCACACCCGTGTCCCTTTTCTGGTCCGTCTGAACCACGCGTCGGCAAACCGTGGCGCCAGAGGTCGAAATGACAGCCCTGCTACACTAATAATACTCCTGATATTTTGGAGGCATTCCCCATATTTTGGTCAAAAAGAGTGCAAACTAGGACACTGTGTTACCATGTTTTCCGTGATATCCTTTACCTCTGCTGTCCCTAAATATTGTGTTTTTTTAAAACAACAACAGCAACAACAACACATGGCCCCTATACGCAGCCCAGAGGAGGGTCTGGTCAATTTTAAAAAGTCTTTCAAACAGGAAAATTAGTTTCAAGGCAGATGAGACACAGCTGCCGATGAAGTTTTTAGGATCTGAAGGTAGTCAGGCGAGGTTCTTAGAATTATGCAACCCATCAGCCTCTGATTTAAACCACAGCCTGTATAAACCCCCCACACAAAATCCTTGCTCTTATAGTAAATCAACATGCTTCCAGTTGATTAAGTCACCAATATCCGAACTGAGGCCAGACACAGACATCAGAGCTGAAAGCAATCAAAGGTTGCAAAGAAGTTGTACTTTGCTTATCTTTCCACATCTGTGAAATGAGACCTCAAAGGAAGCTTGTGTTTGAATCCTGGAGACCCATCTAAACAAAGCAAGCTGGACAGCAGAATCCTAGATCTAAGAGGAGCGCCTGGAGTTACACTCAGATGCTTTCATTAGTTAAGGATTATCCTCTTCCAATCCCAGGCTATCTATAATGTCTACTTCTTGACTATATCTAGCCGTGAGGATCGTAAAGGCTCGATCTTGCCAAACAGGGAGTCGCCGCCCTAAAGACCTGATTTGTTCTTTTCTGGTTACGTCCGTTAGGAACAGACACAAAGGAGGGAGGCCTGAACGACTCAGAGGTGAACCGGATGTCTATGGAGGTCCAGGACTCCTTTTCCTTCCTGGACAGCCAGGATGCGTGGCTAGGCGACAGCCTGCAGGAAGACCAAAACCCACCAAGCTTCAACGTGGCCCCTGCGTTTGCTGGCGGTGACCTGGACGACCCATCCACCATGGAAGATGACATGGGGAGCGGGTTCATGAATGAGATGATGGGAAGCGAGGTGCAGGTGAGGTGCAAGGCTCGGCTAGGGAAGATCCTCATGACCAAGAGGACTGTCTGTGAGAAGGCAAATAGCTGAAATCCCAAAGAAATCGTGATTGAGTGCTAAATGCAATAATCATTATTATTTAATTACACATTTCAGAGCCACTAGGGAGATAGATCCGCTGAGGGAAGCGTGTCACAAGAACAACAACCAGTCACGTCCCCAAATTTTTTGCATTTATCCACACAGTCAGACCCAGAGAGAAACGAGAGTAGTCCCACGCAGTGGTTTTCCAGATGTTCTTGGACTGCAATGCAGAAATCCCAGCCAGCACAGCGGGTGGTGAAGACTTTTGGGAGTTGTGGTCCAAAAACATCTGGGGACCCAAATCTGGGAAACACTGCATTAAAAGTGACTCTTAAGAAAGGAAGGGGTAACGTGGGTGCCCGGATGGAGGAAGCCTGGTTTAACTCCACAGTTCTCTTTGTTTCTTGGCGTCTAGCTGGCAATGTTTTCCTCGCTGCCACCTCTGGATTACCTCTCCATCGAGGAGTGCATGGACGAACATCTGGGGGAAGAGGAAGAGTATTACCTCGCTACAGACTGCATCCACAGCGAAGACCTGCCAAAAGAAGGGGACTCCGAAGAGGTCTACCTCAGCGCTTTCGATGACTTGAGCCCCTTAGCTAACGAACCGGAGCCTCTCCAGCCGTCCGACAAACTTCGAGGTTCCGAGGCGGATTTCCCCCAAGCCCCGTTGGAAGACCAACCCTTCAGTCTAGTAGGGGGGACCTCTTTCGAAGACCCCGCTAGGTCCCACCTCTCTGAAGCTGAGAGAGAGCCTCAGGTGGGGGGTTCGCCAGCCCATGGCCCAGGATTCACCGATGCCCATCCAGAACCAGAGATGAACCCCTCTGAGGAAACCACTGCCAACCCCAGAAACGATTTTGGGGACTGGGAAACGCAACAGAAGGACGAAGCTGAGACTGCGATGGTGGAGGCTGCCGAGGTAGGCTCACCTCTGACGTCGTGGGAGGAAGGAGGTGTGAGCGGCCCAAATGGAAAAGACTTGCTTCTACGAACCGGAGACTCGCAGAAAATGAAACCAGCGGATGCGGTTAACCAGAAGAATCTCCACAGGTCCCTGGCTGAGGCCCATGAAGACCACACGGCTCCATCAAGCCCAGACGATGAGTGGAACTGGCCACTGGAAACTCACACCGTATTTCAAGATGAACTGCCTCCGTGTCCTCCCGGCGTGACCGGCGTAAAGGCTGGCGGCTCAGTGCCATCTGGCGCATCTGACGGACCCGTGGAGTGCGGGCTGCCCTCTCAAGAGGCTGCGCTTTGTCCTGAAACAGCCAGAAACCTTTCATCCGAGGAGGACACCTCCTCCCTCGGGACTCGGCAAACCTCCTTATTGGGCAGTTTTCCTGAAAAGGAGTCTTCTGGGAGGTCCCCGGTGCTAACTTCAGGCCAGCCTGGAGAGAGTCCCCAGCAAGCTGCTTCACCTGGGGCCGAGTTTCCAGGGGTTTCTGATTCTGAGGGATGCCTCGAGCCCAATGTCTGTTCCTCAAAGAGCTGGCCGGGAGATCTTCTGCAAAATCCTCCGCAGGCGCCACCGGGAGAAGCTCCAGCTGCCTTCCGGCAGGACCTCTCGGATGGGAGCGTCTCCATGAAACTGACCTCCAGCACCATCCGGGTGCAGCAGGTCAGATCCTTCCCGGTGGTCCCTCCGAAGCCTCAGTTCGCAAAGATCCCTCCTGCCTTGAAGCCAAAAATGACCGCCAAGGAAGCCTCCCTCGCAGGCCCGACCCTCCCCGTCTGTGGAAACGGGATGAAGGACGCCGTCGGCGAAGGCTCCTACCCCAGGCCTCTTCGCCCCACCAGCCTGGATACGTCCCGTGGCAACACAGAGAGCCGTAAAAACACAGAATCCTTCTCAACGTTTCCCACGTCGCCTCGCTTTTTGGACGGCGGCAGCAGCAGCGATTCCGGTGCCCGTCAGAAGCAGAGGAACTCCATGCCCGGGAGTTTAGAGAAATACGGTCGAGACGGGAAGGGTGGAGAAGACACGACGCCCAAACTCTTGTCCTCGCCGCTGGACGAAGCCGGCCTTTGGCCCAAGAGGGGCCAAACCGACCGAGAGTACCCGAATCCGATGAAAAGCTCTCCTGTCAAGAGTCAGGAGACGGGAAAGCCCAAGAACGGGGACGGGAAAGGGGAACCCTCTCGGCGACTGTGCCCGGCGCCCAGCGAGGGCCACGGGGCCAGCCCACAGAAGCCGAGGTGGAACAACTGGCGCCACGGAGGCAGCATGTCCTTCGATGAAGCCGTCAGCCTCGCCAAGGAGCGCCAGCTAGCACAGGCCCCGGTGAGAAGGATGCAGACCTATTGCTTTGGAGATGCTGAGGGACCCCCAGGCCTTCTCCGGACGGAGAAGCCTGCCCCCCAAGCCAAGCTGGCTCTGAAGCCCCTGGGAGAGGGGATGCGGAGAGCGCCGGCCAGCGGCTGCGTAGGGGTCACAGCCCCCTCTGAGGCTCCAGCTTCCAGGAAAGCGCTTCCGACTCAAGCCCTGCCCAACGTTGGTCTGGAAGGGGGGCTCCCTCCGAGCCAGGAAGCCTTGTTCCTACCTCAGGATCTCCAGCCAAGCCGCAGACTCAGTTTGTCAAAGATAGGCCGCTGCCTGTCCGTCTCGGAAGAGGCCTCTTACACCATGCCGCAGGAGTGGAGGTGACGGGCTTCCAAAACAGGCCTTCGGCCGGGCCAAACCGGGGTGCCTCGTCGTGACCTGAACCCAAGCCTAGCTGATGGAGCATCCATGTTTATGTTCCCCACCGCCCACCTGCCCAAAAGGAGAAGAGACCTGTGGGATAAAGCTCAAAATCCACGTGGTACTTGGATCTGGATTCCCACAGGGTTGGACAGAAGCAGGGGACAGTACTAGCCGCATCATCCACAGGCCACCCTGGGGATTTGTTTTTATTCTTTAAAAAAAGTTTACAAGCAGCCCTGAGGGCTATCTTTCAGTGGAAAGGCTGGCTATAAATGCAATAAATTAAAAAAAGAGAGACATGCTATTTGTCCTTGGTGGGAGGGAGATAAGGGTTTTTGCAACCTCCACGTCACTTCCCAAGCCTGAATTCCTGAAATTTGCAGGCTGCACCATCAATTTCAGGGGCAAGATTTTAAAAAAGCCTAAAACTGACAGGAAAGAAACCTTTTGCTTGCCAGTTTAAATGGCCCATTGCACCAAATGTGTGCTACAAATGGGCTCTTCCCTGCCCCCCCCCATTTTGCCACCAAAACCTGCCAGCACAACTTACTGCCAATCTGAGGGTGGGTACAGGTAAGTACAGAGGAGGGGAGAAACTGGCCTCAGGACCCACCCACCCCTGAAAGTGCCCATCTCTGGTGTCTATGGACAGTAGAACCCAGTAGGTGGCAGATCGGGACCTTGACTCCATAAACACCCTGCTGTGGTAACAGATTGTAGAGCGAAGCAGAATATAGGAACTCATTGATGGAAAGGTTTAGGATCCAGACCTTTGAAATAACAGAGAGGGAGAGAAAGATGCAATTTAAGCCACATTGACCCATCCTATTAAGTGTGCCAGGCTTCCTTTTAACAACCAGCTTTATAATGATCACAAAATCAGGGGGCGCCACTCAAAGAGAAGGGGTTCTTGCTGAAGGAGGAAGAGAAGTGCCATGGGATTGCCATTATGTAGGCGGAACACAGCAACAGGATTGTTGCCTGCCTGTTTCTTGTGCAAGCGCATGATGCCCCATGTAGTTCCTACCACTGTTTTAAAATCCAGTTTTCGTTTGCCATTGAGGAGTGTCTTTCCAGAAGCATCATCCAAGACGAGCCAGAGTGGCCTTCCATCGATCCTGTATTTTGCATGCAAGGAGAGAAATCTTTGTTTCCACTTGGAACAGGAATACGCAAAGCAAAAGGACATGTTCAAACGGTAAAACTATAGTCATCATATAGAATTATTTGGAAGGACGCCCTCTGGACAAAAACAACGCACCTCTGCCCAGAACTTGTACAAATTCGGCTTGAGCCCGTATGCATTAAAATCGGAAAACTGAACATTCAAAAGAATAGCAACTTGGGCCTGTGAAAAAGTTGTTTCTTGATTTCCCCCAGCAAAGTTTTGTTTCAGGAGATCTGCCTCTCTTCGCCTGTGAAAAAGTTGTTTCTTGATTTCCCTCTAGCAAAGTTTTGTTTCAGGAGATCTGTCTCTCTTCTTTATTTAAAATATTTTGACTCCACTTTTCTCCTTAAGAGAAAATATTTTTAGCCCACTTTTCTCCCTAAGAGGAACCCAAGACAGCTTACATGATTAAAAGGCAATATTCGAAAGCTCACAGCAGTAAGTGCACAAATACTCAAGAAGGTCAAACAAATACCACATTGAAAAACAGTAAAGCAAAAGCAACATCAAAACCACATTCAAGGCAGGAAGACACAACAATCCATTAAAACCCACGCAGGCAGCCATGTCACTGAGGGAAAGCTTGCAGAAGGACAGCCAAGAGGGGGCCAGCCTGGCCTCTAGTGGGAGGGAGTTCCACAGTCTCGTGTCCCCATCAGATGCACCTATGAAGGGGCTGGGACAGAGAGAACGGTCTCTCCTGCTGATCTGAACACTTATAGTCCACCTACATAGGAGTGTAGCTTCCCTGGGAAATGGAAACAGGGGCAGGATACGGTTGTTACCAAACAGCATCAAGATTTGAGACAGGCAAGCAGGAAATAAACATCCTGGAAGAGGCCAGTGATGACCTTCTAATATTGTGGACATTATTATGACTTGACTGGAGGTCAAAGAAGACACAGAAAATTCTAAATATTGCACCCACACTTTCTATTCTCCAGTCAAGGTTACCTTCAGTGGCACCACAGAAACCAGCAAAACCATCACCGATTTTTACTTCAAGCCCAAGGATTCTTGAACTGACTTCATCTGGAACTCTTGTGACTCCAAATAAATACATAAACAGACGTATTATTATGTGCAGCTTGGTTCTTAAAACCAGACATGTTTGCAACACCAGGGAAAACTGTAACCAATAAAAGGCACCAGGAACTTATCAAGAATAGCTTTGACACATTGTGGACCAGCATCCTGTTGCGGAGACCCGCCTGCATAACTGGGGTGTCATCGCTGGCTGTAGCAGATAATAGCAGCTAACTAAAGAGTTCCTTTTGTTTATTTAAATTTTCAAATGTTGGGGTGCATGTGATTTATTAGTTGCAATTAATAAGCTACCAATGATGCCTCTGTTGTTGTGTAGGCAGATCTCTGCAACAGGATACTAAACCATGGATCCTTACACCAAGCAAAACAACATCTCAATTATGAAGACTTTCCTCCACTAAATGATGAGTCAAACAAATGATGATGAACAACCTATGAGGATGATTTTCCTCCCGTGACCTCTAGCCAATCCCATTAACAAAAACTTGGAATACAGTATTTTGGAAAAAGCGTCAGCAGGTTTCCTACAACAACCTTCAATCATCATGGCATTGCAGAGGGACTGACAGGGGAAGACTCACGAGATCCAGGTTCAATTCCCGGGTTTGGTCACCGAAAAGCTCACTGGAAGGAGTGGCAAACGCAAAATGATTTTCAATCATTCACATACCGCGACAAGGGCGCGATGCTCACTGGAAGCCAAACGCAACTTGATCACAACGGGGTCCGCTTGGCAAACGTAGAATCTGACTGCACAGCTAAATTATCTCTCCGTTCCCGTGACGTATGTTTTCATGAGGCCGGCATCCAGTTAGGGCGTTGCATTTCGGCTTTTAAAATTCTTGCTAAGTCACAAAGTTTCAATGAACAGCCTTGGACATATTGTTGTTAGGTGGCTGTCTGGTCACCTCTGGCTTAAGATGACCCTGTTAATGATGGGCGACTTCCAAAAATGTCCTGCCCTGCTCAGGTCTTGCAAAATCAGGCCGGTGGTTTCCTTGAGGAAGTTGGTCCTTCTCGTATTGGATTTTCCTCATTTCCTGCTGCCTTTTAACTTTCCCAGTCTTATGGTTTTTGTTCCCCCCCCCCCCAGGGAATCCTGTCTTCTCAAGACGTGTCCAGGACAGGACAGCCTCAGTTTCATCTAGGACCCACTCGGACAAGCTGGCACGCATCAGTGTCCTTTGGCTTACACTGGTGTAAAGCTGGTGGTGCACCCACGAGTGTGACAGAGCAGGTACCACTGATGTCCAAAGTAGGACAGCCTCAGTTTCATCTAGGACCCACTCGGACAAGCTGGCGCACATCAGTGTCCTTCGGCTTACACTGGTGTAAAGCTGGTGGTGCACCCACGAGTGTGACAGAGCAGACCAAGTACCACTGAGGTACCAAAACGGTCCGGCTCCCTCATCCAGTAGAGCTCCCCACCCCGACTGAGCCTTCTCAACCGTCACCCCATCTGGGTGTTGATCATGTCGGCCCACTTTGCAGGGTTGTTGTTTTGACGGCAACAACAACAAACGGCAGCACTCCTTGAGGTGGGAAGGGCTGTGAGCTCAAAATGGCACGCACAGTTCTGCTCCTGCTCCCTACTTTCTCCTCACAACGACCCTGTGAGGTAGTCCAGACGGGGGTCAGGGTCACCTCCTGGGCCTCCTGGCTCACTGTGGGTGTCAAATATCAGCCGAATCTTTGGATGGCACCACAGGACAACGGTTTAGGAAGGTGGTAAGGGGAAAGCAGGCCCTGTCCACATTTGTGTTTTTTGGACTACAAAGCCCATATTCCCCCAAGAACCGTGGCCGAGGCCAGTCTGAGAGAAAAGGAACGAAAGGGGGGGGATTTGAAGAAGGAAAAAAATGGGAGGCTGCCCTTAACAAAGATGGCGATGCCTAGGACGCCTCCTTCCCGCCCTCCGGCACAGAAGGCGAGGTACGGAAGCCGGATGTTCCCCCTCGGCTGCTTGAGGCCGTGCCCTTCGTTAAGATGGAAGGCGACCATTCAGGAGGCGGGAATACCTCCCCAAGATGGCGGCAGCCGGAAGTTGAGTCCCGG